AGGTGCGCGGGGCATCTGTTGGCGGCACCGAACAGGTGCTGAAACCAGAGATGAAGAGCGGGATGGGCTAGTACATGCCCGCTGGACCTTTCTAAGTTTGGACTTGGGAGGCCACGAGGAAGCGATGGAAGATTTTTCAGCAGGAGATTGACACAGTCACATTTGTGCTTAGGAAGGATCACCCTGGCCAAAGTGGGCATGGAGAGGGGACATTGTTAAGGCAGGGAGACTGGGTAGGAGACCGTTGCAGACATTCAAGAAAGAGACAATAGTGGACTGACCTATGCTGGGCCATAGCAATAAAACAGAAGGGGGTCGACTAAGACAGAATGAACCGGATGCGGGTCAGAGGAGGAAAAGGAAATTCCTGGAGTTTGGGTTTGTGTAGCTGAATGCGGTTGGATTATTGGTGCTACTCAACATGTCAGGAAAGGTGGAAGAAAGGGTTTGGGGCAGTAGATGATGAATCCCACTTGGGGGCAGCTTCTGTTTGAAGTACCTATGAGACATTAAAGTGGAGATGTCCAGCAGGCAACTGGATATCCACCCAGGCCTGGAGAGAGATTTGAGATAGAGGTAACAATTCGGGAGCCATCCTCAGCGAGATGATAATGGTAGTTAAAATTCCTGAGAGAATGGGAACCGTGTGGAGAAGGCAGGGGAAGGGTGCCCCATGAAGCGGACAGAGATGGCTCAGCAGAGAAGAGAGAGCGGGAATCAGAGACTAAGGGAGAGAGTGCTCCCCGTAGCATGGTCAAAGCGATTCTCTTTTATTACCCACCACTGACTCAAAACCATGGTTCACTTTAGTTTGCCCACTATTTGAACCATGATTTCCTTGTACCTTTCTGGGTTTCCCTACACTTCTCTCTCTTTTGTTGTATTGCTGTTGTGTTGAGAGAAGAAACATTTTGTTTTCACGTCACAAACGTTTCCTGCTTCTTACTCTTTCCGTCTAATGCACGGAATGCCTCCCACTTTTCTCCTTACGGAGAGATTTCTTAGAGGCCCCCCACTTCCTGTTTTAACTTGGACCCGGGGAAGGGGTATTAGAGGTAAAGAACACAGACATTTTGATCACTGCAAAAGGAGAGCCTCGCTGTAGGGAAACCAATGTGCATGTATCATTAGTCTTTCTGAATTTAGTTAGTGTGGCTTTGTCATGGAGAAGCTGATGACCTCTGGATATTTACAGATAATTCAGGCTCTGGGGCTCAGAGATTAAGTATCAGACCCTGAGGGTGGTCACTCAGCCACCCCAGGAGTCTCACCACAACCAGCCAAAGCACTTCAATGCATCTTTGGTGGATCCTGTGTTGTGTTGCCAAGACATCCAAAGAACTTAGGCACTCAGCCCCTTGCCTCAATTTAAGACATCTCTGGAGGACCAGCCCATCTTCAGAGTTCCCCATGAGATGAGATGAGGCCTCTTTTGCAGCTTTGAACTTCAACTTCTTTGTGTGTCCAGTCTTTCCTTCGCTCCCTTACAGGTGTTGTTCCCAAAAGCACACCCCAATAAATATCTGCCTCAAAGTCTGAGTTTCCTGAAGAATCCTACCCACAACCCTGCTTTTCTCTTACCTATAAACAAACAAACAAAACAATATAAATAAGCAATATAATATAAACAACAGCTATAGGCAAACAAAAGAGTTAATTCCTTACAGGGGATATTTATTGGGTTGCTGTGAAGGTGGCTGTTCATCACATAGTGATCCTCACCACCACCGTCTTTTAAGGTCAAGCCAGCTACCATCCTCCTGAACCCAACCAATAGCACCCTGGCTGCCCAAAGGGGCATTTCTATCCCGAAGAACTGACCCCTGTACTGAGGAAATGAGCCACAGGCTCTGGTTGCCTGAACTGCTCGGAAAAATCACTAACTTATTTGAAACCTCATAAAAAAAATGTATTCCTAAAATCCTAACACTAGACAGTTTTAGAATTAATAAATGTGTATTAAAATTACAAGCCTATTCCACTCCCAACCTGAAGGAAAGAATTCTAGGAACATGAAAACGAAAAGGAGGAATGCCTGCTTCCTAGGGTAAGTCACTTCATATTTAAATCATTTACTTATGCAACAGCCTTTCTGGACTGATTAAGGGAACTGCCAGTTACAATTACCAACGTTTCTTCAGGTGAGGGAGAAGCACAGGCTTTCCTCTGGCTTCCTGTGGGAGAGCCTGGGTTGGAACTTCGTGTCCTGATGGCCAGACTGTGCCCCTCTTGCCAGTCTCTGGCAAGACTCAGTGCTCAAAGAAGAACACTTCTCATCCCAAACCAACGGTAGAGGGAAGAAAACCACCACCGTGGGATCCTCTCCTCCCTACGGGGCTACCGAGCTTGCCAGGAATCAAAGCACAGTATTTTCTTCACTACCCATCTTTAAATTCTAAGTCTTCCAATGCCCAGCTCAAAACCCACGTCTGCTGTGAAGCCTTATCTGACTATCCCAACTGAACATGGTTTTCCTTCCACTAAGTCCTGGCTGGCACCTCCTGGCCTCCCCGCCTCATTGGCGCTGTCTTCGCTCCTGGTAATGTCAGTGAGCTTTCTGAGTGGACTGTAGCAGTTACTGATTTGATAATTCATTCTCTCTTCTTCTGAGGTTCACGGCAATTAGTTCAGGGGTGAGCCTGTGATCCCAGCAGGACTGTTCAGTGTTTGCTCTGAGTGATTGAAAGTACACATTGGAAGAGAGATGCTCCTGTCTTCTCCTGCCTCACGAGCTATAAGGAAATTGTAAGCCTGGAATTTCTCAAGGCCATCCTCCCTGGACGTCTGCAGAAAGCCCATGTTGAGAGATGGAAAGCCCTACTGACATCACTGGAACCCCTAGATCCAGCTACGCCTGAAGCTCTTACTTGAAACTTACCGTTATGTGAGCGAATACATTCCCTTTTTTGCTTAAGTGAATTTGAATTGGCCTTTATTATCTGCAGCTTAAGTGACTAACACGCTCACGCAGAGCTCCTTAAGAAAAAGGGTGGTAGGGACCTCAGAGTCTCCGGTATCTTTCTGTCTTGCCGCTCGGCTCTTGTCATGTACAGTTTAAGTCGACGGCCTCCATGCTCAGGTTCCAGCTGGAAGTGGAAAGAACACATGAAACAGGGCACAGCTGGTGTCTGACGGCCGAGCTCTGGGGCAGGCACAACCGCTTGCCTTCGTAGTCACGTGGACAGTCACTAGTGACATGGCCACATCTAACTGCAGGGGAGTCTGGGACATGTAGTCTGTCCGGGCAGCTGTGTGTCTAGCCACGACTCTCTTTCTGAAGGAAAGAACAGATGTTGGTGCACAACTGTCAGTCTAATTTACACCTGGTGTTTGCAGGTTAAAACAAGTGAAATACCTAGTCCAGTTTAAATGTGTGCGAGGCTGGAGCGAGGTGAGCAAAAGCCTCTTCATCGGTAGAAAGTGAGCAGAGCTCCGCATGGTCTACTGAGGAGGTTGTGTGCTCTGTCAACTTAGGTAAGCTGGAACATTACCTAGAGTTCCCTTCCCTGCAGGGTTCCAAGTTAGGGTTGGCCACGAGAGAAATTATCACGATCAGAAGGTGGCAGGGAGGTGGCAACCTTTACCCTCTGAAGGTCGGTGCAGGGCACGGTGCATGACTGAGGCTCCCATGCATGGCCACAGCTCCCCTGCATGGCCGCAGCTCCCGTGCATGGCCACAGCCCCATGCATGGCCACAGCTCCCGTGCATGCCCGCAGCTCCCGTGCATGGCCGCAGCTCCTGTGCATGGCTGCAGCCCCGTGCATGGCCGCAGCTCCCGTGCATGGCCACAGCTCCCGTGCATGGCCACAGCCCCCGTGCATGGCCACAGCTCCGTGCATGGCCGCAGCTCCCGTGCATGCCCGCAGCTCCCGTGCATGCCTGCAGCTCCCGTGCATGGCCGCAGCTCCCGTGCATCGCTGCTCATCACCGGCGGATCACCTCGCGTGGGCAGCAGCCCGCAGCTCCTCAGCAAATGCCCGATCTCTTCCCCAGCTCCTTGGCGAAGGGCGCCGGCAATTCCTGTGGGAGACAGACATGGAGTCCGGCTGATGTCACAGGTCCCGGACTTCCTTTACTTTAACCTCAGGCTTTCTCAGCCTCTACACTGTTACTGTTCTGAGTGAGATAATTCTTTGTTGTGCGGGGCTGTCCTGTGCATTGTGGGACATTTAGCAGCGTCCCTGGCCTCTATTCTCTAAATACCAGCAGCAACCCTCACCCCAGTGTGACAAGCCAAACTCTTTCTAGGTGTCTTCTTGGGAGCAAAACCCTGGGTGAGAACCACTGCCTTCACAGCCAGCTTTTCTTCCCAATTGTTGGCCTGTGACCGACAGAATCTTCAGGCCCACGGCACGCAGAGGCCTGCGCAGGCCTGCTGAGACCTCACCACCAGCTCCCACGGTCACACGAAGTCTAACCCCATGTTCCTCACAGTGGTTCTGCTCAGGACTGCGTTCCATGGGCCCGAGACACCGCCCTCGTGGGCCCGGCCCCTTCCTTCATTAAACAAAAAAATTGATATTTTAAAGCTATTTTGGTACAAAAACAAATATTATCTAGGCTGGGTTCATTATTTTATATTCATTATTACACTCATGTTAATGAAAAGTTAAGCTTTTGGGGCCCCTACAAGAATGGGGAGCTCTGGGCATTGTGTCAAATGGAGAAGTTGGCCCTGGACCTGCTTCTCTCCTGCCCCCCTGGCTCTCAGGTGCCTCACTTCACACATTATCTTTGTAATCAGGACACAACCACAGGCAGCAATGATTTGCTTCTTTCAAGACCAACCTGAGTTTAAGGGGATAACTCCAAGTCCTTGATGCTGCACTCGGGGGAAGCAGAGCAGATTTGGCCGAAGACCCTCCAAGCATCTGCTTTTTAGTCTACTAGCTGGGTCAATAGAAATGATAGTTACTATTTAGGGAATTCAGGACAAAAGATGAGTGTGACATAAAACTCCCTTTTAAAAACACATCAAAGAAAACAAGTGTGTCTCCAGGTGAAACTGCACACATGTGTTTTCTATGTATTTTCCATTAGATTGTTAATAATCAGATATAAATCATCGAATGGAGTCAGATGGACCAATCCTGGGGTCCCTTTCCCCGCCGGTGATGGCTGTTTCGGATTAGCTTGGAGCCTGCTGCCTCCACAAACAACGGGCGTCTATGGGGCTGGGGAGGACAGGAAATTAAGCCAGCAGGCATCCTGCCTGTTATTCCCACGCTTTCCTCAAGCCATAAATCCATCGACTGCGAAAGGGGGAATATAAATTGGGCAAAGTGGGAGGAAGTTGGGATGCGGTTTTACTCCACACCTCCCTCAGCAAGTTTGTCCACAATCATCACTTTGGAATTAAAACACCTGCTTCGCATCAGATGTTTTACAGCCGGGCACGGCCGTGGATGGTAGGAAGTTTGTATCAAACCACAGAATTCTTCCTTTAGCAAGAACTCTGCTTTTTTTCCATGGAAATATCAGGAAACCATTTTGAGCTGAACTAAAAGCGGTAGAGTTTAAGATAAATGTTATGAAAATTGCATAAAACATTATATCAAAACCCTTGGCAGTGTCAGAAAGCAAGATTTCTGACTCCAATGAGTAGCTGAAGAAGAAAATTCAATTCCATTTTTTCACTTGTCTGCCAACTTTATAGCACTTCATTTAAAATGGAATCTCTAAAGAATCAATTCAAATTAGCTTTACGGTTTCCCCCAAAAGAACCTGCTTTAAAATAAATTGAATCGGAGCATGTGACATAATAAGTGAGCATAAAATTCATGTTAACTAGTCCGAGGGAAAAACTCATAATAAGGAAACAAATAATCTCACATGACTGAGCTAAAAATAGTCTCTAGACTGTCAGTTTCAAAATTGAACAAAAATAGGGGGAGTTGTTATAATAATGATATGGCACATTTCTCCCTAATGAAATGGCCTTGAATTTTGTAATAAATTACAGAAAGAGAATCCTTTGGGCCAAAAGAAGATACTAGACATGAGTTGCTTTCATAAATGGAGTGGCAGCAATGAAAATGCCTTCCGGCTGGGGCTGAGCGGCTACTCTACGTGGTGGCTTCAGCCTTGAAGACGGGGGGAGCTGGGGCGAGCAACATTTAGAGGGTGACCCGTCGTACTCTACTGCCCCATTTAGAAAGCAGCTTTTGCTTCTGTAGTTGCTTTATTTTGATCAGGGGTATATATCATAAATATATATATATTTTTTAGATATATCTTTATTGATTTCAGAGAGAGGAAAGGAGAGGGAGAGACAAAGAGAGATGGAAACATCAATGATGAGTCATTGATTGGCCGCCTCCTGCACGCCCCGGACTGGGGATCAAGCCTAGAAACCCGGGCATGTGCCCTGACCGAGAATCGAACCCCCATCGCCTGGATCTTAGGTCGACGCTCAACAGCTGAGCCACGCCTGGCCGGGCAATCATAAATATTTTTAAAGATCTCTGTATAAAGTTTATGAGGACTCTAAAGTTCCTTGAGGACAGAGGCAATATCTTATTTGAGTTGATAAACACACCATACTTCTCACAGCTCCTGACATATAGAACAAATCCCATGTATGTTTGAAGGAGAAACACAAGAATGAATGAATGAATGAATGAATGAATGAATGAATGAATGAATGAATGAATGGTTTAAATCAGATTAAGCTTAAAATTTAAAATTATACCTTTTAAAAAACTCACAGTTGAACTGGGAAATATGCTACAAATTTAACTGAGGAGGAAATGGTTGAATTGTGGTGATATTTTTTCACTCTCCACTGAAGTTAAGAAACAAATAACTTGGTTTATCATTGGGGAAGCCTTGCTAGAGATTTCTTAAGGCCCTGCCTGAAAGTAACAATATAGTTTACCCTAATGCGACCCAGTGTCTTAGAATTTAGCTAGGTCTTAAAATGTGGGGTCAGCTCCCCTTTTCATAACACCCAGTTGGGCTTCCTTGCTTTTCCAATGAGCTCACTCCATTTTGCTTTGAAAAGATTGTTTTTTATTTCCTGCCACCTTACCTATCCTTCCTTTTCTTCAATCTACCCATTCATCAGACCATCCATTTATCTGAGCACCTGCCCCTCAAATAACTTAAGGATATAGTAATGAATAGTAATAATAGCTAACATTTATCGAGTGCTTATTATATGTCAAGCACGGTTATAAACATTTTATGCTAATTAACTCATTTAACCGTCCCAACAATTCTATGAAGGATGTACTATCATAATCTACACCTTACACACAAAGCACTGAGGCACAGCCAAATTAAATACCCTGCCCAAGTTCACACCCCTCGGAAGCAGGGAGGTCAACATTCAAACCCAGAGAGTGTGGCTCCGGAACCACCAGTCTGCTGGGCTAGTTAGGTAGATATGGTCTTGGCCTTCATAAGCCTCACATTCTAGTGGGAGAAAGAAAACTTAAAGAGATAATTATGTCATTTTAACTATAACAGTTGCTTTGGAGGAAAAGTAGAGGTGTTACAAGAGAGTGTGTGTAAGGGACACACAGCCTCCTGAGGAACCAGGACGGCCTGGCTGCTGAGCAAGTTGGCTCTTAGGCCCCATGCTGTGCCTCACAGCTCCTCAGCCACAAGGTCTGCCTCCCTTTGGTCTCTGCTCCTTACCACGCCCCTCCCATGCTTTGGCTCATGCCCTTCCCTCCTCTTTGTTTGGTTAGCTCTTAGCTGTCCTTTAGATCCCCACTTAATCCTCAGCAAGCCCACCCTATGTCCCTGCTTGGGTATCTGACTTGCCCTCATTTATTTCTCTATCAGGTACCTCTGTTATGGCTGAATTATATGTCCCTCCAAACTCATGTTGAAGCCCTAACCCCTGGCACTCAGGAGGTGACTATATTTAGAGAAAGGGCCTTTAAAGACGTGATCATTTAAAATGAGGTCATTAGGGTGGCCCTAATCCAGTCTGACTGGTGTTCCTGAAGGAAAATTTGGACACAGACGCGCACACACACTGAGTTGACATGTGAGGAAGCCACGAGAAGGTGGTTGTTGCCACCCAAGAAGAAAGGCTTCAGATGAAACTAAATCTGCCTACACCTTGATCTTGGACTTCCAGCCTTCAGAATTGTAAGAAAACACAGTTCTGTTGTTTAGTTCGCCCAGTCCGTGGCATTTTGTTATGACAACCAGAGCAGACCTCCTCCTTCATAGAACATGTCATAGTCGCAGCTGAACTTTCATTTCATTATTTAATTGCTGTCTCCCTGAGAAGAAGGCAAGCTTCGTAAGAACAGGAATTGGGTTGGGTTTTGCTCACCACGGTATCACCAGAGCCTGGCGAAGTGCCTGGTGTGTAGTAGGTGTTCATTAAATAATTGCTGCATGAATGAATAAAACATCTGAGTGAATGGATGAGCACATGCGTGAAAGAAACAGTAATTACACAGTGGTTTTGCCTCTGGGAAGATTTACTTGTGGCATGGGTTGCATCTGGAAGCAAGGTCACCTTGTATTGGCTAATATGGGTATTAACATGCATTTATGTAGCTTCACTAGATACTGCAAATTCCTGGAATTGCAAGTTTTTAGTCCCTCAGAGAAACACTATTCAGTGAAATTTAATCTTGTNATTCAGCATCACCAGTGTTGGTCCCTTCTTATCAGTCTACCCTACGCCAGCCCTAGTTTCCCACAGTCTACTCAAAATACATCTGCCCAAAATCAAGATCCACAAATTATACTTCTGTTAGGTCATTCTGCCTATACTACTTCTCACTGCTCCTGGAATTCCCCTAAATATGGAGTAAACTTATGACTGTGAGCTTGAAGTCCATTTACACGCAAGTTTGAATGGCCATGATTTGTGGAAATCAGAAAAAGATAAGTAACTCTTTTTTCAACTAAAACTTGTCTAGAGTAAAAAAAAAAAAAAAAAGATAATTTTAAGAGACATAAATCCAACATCCTTGCAATTGGAAGAAAATATATTGTTTGTAGCAAACCACATTGATTAAGGTCATGCTTGATTTTCGTTTGGAAAATGTCCTTTCTGGTTTCCATGGGGGCCCATGACACAGTGAGGACTGAGGGAAAGTGCCACACGGAGGGAGGGTGGGACACACGTGAGAATTTCTAGGTCTTCAGAGGAGTCATCTTTTCTGAGAAACTCATTACTCACTTAATTATTCATTCTGTTTATTTACTGTATGGTTATTACACATAAACATGGTGCAAATCCCCAGAATCCTCACACACCAGATGCCAGTTTCCCTCCACAGTCCCAAAAGACATCACCAAGCCATCACTGTGAGAATTAAAACAACAACAACTAAAACCCAATTAAAATTGTGCCAGCGTGTTCATTTCCAAAAGAAAAACCCTGCAAATGAACAAGCTTTTAGTCACTCCCCTGACTGCTTCTGCAAAAGAACAAACACAAAAAAACCCTTAAACTAAAGCTGGCATAGAATTAGTATTTAAGTCACAGCTTCCATCTACGTCCTCTCTGCACAGAAAGGGGATTGGCTAAGTCAACTCAGTCTCACTTCTCATTTCAAAATCCAGTGACTGAAGAAATCATTTTGCTTTTCTGAATGTCGAGGTGTCTGGCCAAGCCCGGTGATGGCAGAAGGGGAAGCCAAGATGGAGACACGATTGTTGGGGTCTTGGGGTCTGTGGGTGACACCTCTTCCTCCTAATGACCCGGGGGGAGGGGGCTGGGTGCACCTCGCCCACCTGAGTAGATGTCTTTCTGCTGTTCCAGGGTCCCCCTCTGGCTGTCACGTTACATTTAGTCATCATGTGTCCTTAGGCTCCTCTTGGCTGTGACAGTTTCTCAGACGTTTGCTGTGTTTGATGGCCTGGGCCGTTTTGAGGAAGACTGGTCAGGTATTTTGTAAAATGTCTCTGAGTTGGGATTTACCTGATGTTTTTCTCTGCTTAGGCTGGGATTGTTGGTTTTGGGGGGGAAACCCAGAGAGGTCTACCCACATAAGGATATGTAGTATCAGTCTGAGTGATCCCTGTTGCTACTGGCCTGGATCACCTGGCTGAGGCAGTGACGGTCAGGTGTTCTCGCTGGACTCTGTGCCACCCTTCTACACAGTACTGTTGGGAAGGTCACTGTACTCAGGCCACACTGAAGGGTGGCGAGCTCTGCGTCCTGTCTTTGAGGGTAGGGTACCTAGGTAAGTGATTTGGAATTCTTCTGTAGGTTGAGATCGGTCTCTGTTCTATCATTTATTTAGTTAGTCAATGATTTATCTGACTCAATATGGACTCATAGATATTCATTTTATACTTTGGGTTATAATCCAATATTCGTTTGTCGCTCAGATTGTTCCAGCTTTGGCCACCAGGAGCTCTTTCTGTGGGTTCTTGTGTCCTACCAACATAGGGTTTTTGTGTGCATGTTGTTGTTGTTGTTTTGTTTTTTGTTGTTGTTTGTTTTTTAAGCACGTCCTCACTTCCTGGCACTACAAGATGCTCCAGGTTCAAAAACAAAAACAATAAAACAGGTTTGGGGCTGAGCAGAGGTCAAGACTAAAGGAAAGTTTTGTCTGTGGAGTCATATCACAGGACCTCGGAGAATACGGGCACTTATGGATGGCTGTAGGAGGGAAAACGGGAAAAGATCACGAGCGGGAGAAAATAGGCACAGAAATCCCATAAAAGGCCAGTGTTACGGAGGCTAAAGAGAGAAGGACCCAGGAGAAGGGACAGATGTGACGGGGTCTGGCTGTGGCGAGAGGTCAGGTAGAGGCTGGGGTGCTGGAGAGGAGGGGCCGCGGCTCCTCTTCCGTCGTCAGTGACTTCTCAGTGTCTTCAGGAGGCTCTTTTCTTTGCTGCCCAGTAAATGTTGATGTTACCTAGGACTCTATCCTTGGCCCTATGCTCCTAACAGTTAGGATTCTCCTGGTTTCAAATAACGGAAAGCAACTCCAGCTGGCCTGAGGGGAAGGCTTTATTGGAAGGACACAGGGTTACCTCACAGGACCCAAAGGGTTACGACTGGATTTTGCACACCAGCTTTAACTAGAAGTCAAGTACCACAGGGTTTCTCCAGCTTCTTTCCTGCTCCCCTCTCGGTGTCTGTTTCATTTTCTGCTTTCATTGCAGATTAGCTGTCTTGGATTTCCAGCCCACGTGGTGGAAAACATCTCCCACTCGCTCCTGAGTCATACCATTCACTCAGCCACTCAAGGAACACGGCTGTCTCACTCAGTCTCATTCCTAATGTCTTCCCACGGAAGAGAAGGAGTTGGTCAAGCTGCACAGATGCCCACCTTCGGGCCATCCGACCAACGGCACCCCAACGAGGTCATGCTGCACAGACAGGGCAGGGACTGGGAGCTGGACGTGAGCAGCTCAGGGAAATGCATACAGGGTGGGGATCTGGATTGGGCTTGGGGGGCTGATAAGGAGGGAAGGTGACATGAGCAGCTTCTCATCTCCCCTCTTTCTTTTTGGCCTGTGCTCTGAAAGCTTGGGCCCTCCTAAGCAGCAAATCCTAGGGGTGCTCTCCTTCCTGTGTCAGATGCCAGCCGTATTGTTTTCTTCTAAGAAGGAAAATAGAACAGCTGCCCAGCTCTTATCAACTTCCCAGCTCTTATCAACTTCCCCTGTGACCGGCCAGCTCTCAGTAAACCTTGGTGTGTACCAGTGGCCATGACTACACGTGTCCTCTTGGTAAACCAGGGTCGACTGTTTCAGGAACCAACCAAACCTCTTTCTGGGGGTCTTTGAACTTGGCACTGGGCAGATCCCAGGCCAGTTGCTTTCTAGAATGGTGTGAGGCTGATGGTGACTACGGCACAGAGGTGGAGTCAGGGGCACTGGTCCCAGTTATCCTGGACACCAGCTGCTCCATTGCCCTCCCTGTGTTAGACTCCATATACTGGTCCACTACTTTCCAAGGTCAAGGGAGTTGCCCAATAGCTATTCACAGCCTGGCCTCTGACCTCTCATATCCACTGGAGAAAGCGACCCCTCCTTTTCTTTCGTCACGTTTCCGGGAGAAATGAGGTCCAAACAGTGATTGCAATAGGAGGCTTTGGTATTCTGGCGATGACTGAAATACTGGCACTTGTTGGTGTATTACTCTAATTTTGCTATTTAAAAAATTAAAAATCAGTATCGCTTATGTATCAAGATAAGGATCAGTGATTCAATGATTCAATTTATGATGAAAATACTTGCTGAACAAAACTCTACCCAAAGTCAGAAAGGGCTTTTCATCAGCTAGAATAATTTGAACTAAAACACATATGATACTCAATCATACCATCCTGGCCCCATGAGCAGGAATAGCTTTAGATTTACAGAAAAATTTTGAAGATAGTAGAGTTCTCATACACTCCTCACCCAATTTCCCCTGTCATTAACCTTTTAAATGAGTATGACACATTAGTCACAATTAATGAGCCACTATTGGTACAATATTAACTAAAGTCCATACTTTAGTACCTAATGTCCCCTTTTATTCCAGGATCCCATCCAGAATACCAAATTACATTGAGCTCTTACGTTTCTTTAGGCTCCTCAGATTTATGACAGTTTAAGACCTTAATTTGACAAAGTTTATCTGCTAATAATTTGTGTTAGAATGATGCTTGCTTAATGGTTCTATTTTACAAATTTACATTTTTCCTTGATCTTTAAATATTTAATACTTTTATCATTTGAATTGCATTCGATATTTTCCTCATGCTGAAAATGTTAGGAATTCTGAACATGTAGAGATAAAATATTAGTATCGATGCAGGTATTGATTTAAAATAAATGCTGAGTGTCCAGTGCCCCAGTTTTTGTTGCAGGCCATCATTAAGGGCTCTGCAAATAAGCCCTTCCCCCCCCCGCCTTTACTCCACTCTGTTCTCCCTCTGGGTACCGCTGAGAAGGCTCCCTAGTGTCAGCCCAGTCTGGTGCCTGTCTTGCACAGCCAGTGACCTGGGGCCATTTTTCAATGATACTTTTGGCTCTGGCTACATTATCTTAGAGAAGTCTTAAGGTTTTGTATTCCAACGCCTTGCTCATTACCTGGAACACAGTGAGCTTGCAGTACAGGTAGGTGCTATTATTTGTTCAACCAAGTTGAAGGCATGAAGGAAACTGGCCCATTGGCGGGAAAAAGTGACTCTTCTCCTGAAGTCAGGAATTGATAAGAATCAGGGAGCTCAGGTGGGTGGCAAGAACCAGTAGAGGAGTGGAGCATCCTGGCCTGCAGAGTGGGGGTTGAGAGAGAAGCAGAGGGGTTGGGGACCTCCCCCGTGGCAGAGCCACAGCAGCAGCCTGGCTCAGTGCTGCCAGGCACATGGATGGAAGGAAACTACCTGTAATGACCACCTCTAGGATTTTGAGACGCAGCAATTATCAGCATCTGAAAACCGTGATAAGAGTTTAATCGCGAGTATGTAGCACTCCATTATTGGTAGAGTGAATGTTGACATTTAAATACATGGCAATCTATTGGTCTCTCTGGAAGTTGCTGAAAGCAATTCACACCGTTAGGTTGATTTCTGCCCATAGTTCATGGCATATTCGAAGTCTTTAAAGCTGACGAGGCCATCTGAGTCTTGATCTACTTCCCTAGAAAATGAAACAAGAAGTTACTTACAGGTTATTTTCATTACACTTATGCATCAGGTGCACATCAGGATATTTCTTTGCATGTTTATGGGAGAGGCACATATGTATCTACTTGAAGGCTAAGGATGATGCCTACTTTTTTCCTTACATTGATAAGTGGGAAGGAAAGAGAAAGGTATTTACTAAAACCCGCTGAAATAACATATTCAACACATTTAAAGGAATGAAGTCAATGCACAGGTTAAGTAAGAAAAGCAAGAAGGACGATTTTTCTAGTCATTTTGCAAATTCTTTTTGTGAGATATCAATAAATACATATGCATTACCCAACAGGAATGGGGGATAAATCAGTAAGGGGGTCAGAACACTCTGGGCATGGTAATCACGGGACCAGTGACTGACACCCTGCACCACACCAGTGGCCTTTACATTCCGTCTCCCACTGGTTCTGTGCACTGATGCTAGGATGGGCCCTCCTACGGATAGAAACATTGAGCTTAAAGAGGGTAAGTAGTTTCACAAGATCACACTGCTGGTGAGTGGCAGGCTTGGAAATCAAATCAGGATCATTAAATTCCAAAACCAGGGCTCCATACTCTCTCTATTGCACGGTGCCTCCCTGCGTAAATAGGACGTTCAGGAGAGAAAGGATTGTACTGCGATTTCCATGTGGCTAAGGCCAGCTCCTGAAGTTCTCACTGGCTCCATTCGTGGCCTTGTAGGCTCTGTTAAACCCTCACAAACTCCCCATCAACTTCTCTGACTCCTATAAAGAGAGGTGAAGATGGGAGCCTCTGGCTGGTCGGCTGAGGGTGTGGGTGCCTTAGTGGGGTTGGCCCAGAACCCCTGAGACAGGACCATTGCCACCCCAACAGAGAGCAGAGAAATGGCACCCACGCAGGCAGAATACCACATGTCAGAAGGACATAATTACGGCCGAAGCCACACACTCAGCCATACTAGTAAAAGTAATGTTTATTTGAAAAGAATGTTTGAAAGGATAACTGATGAGTAGCGGTCACAATTCCTCTTTGGGGGGCATTCTAAAACAACGCTTTACATGCCTTATGCAAATTATATCCTGTTGAAACAACAAACGGTTTCAACCATGACACAGAGCTCTTAAAACAAAGACTAGCCCACATAACAGAGCCACTAATCACTGTAATAGTTTTAAAGCAGGCTTTTAAAATATTGAATTCTAAAATCAACTTTCTGAATATTTCATGCCAAAGTCTCTGAAGTCTGTAATGGTTCTGGATGGAGCGATGATAATTTTTCATTCTTTTGAAGCAGAGAAAAATCCCCACTTCTCTGCCCCAGGGCACAACCATGTTGCACTGTGTTAGTGTAAAATGATTGCCGAGTGCGGAGGCCATTATTCCAGTTACTTCTCTAGGTGAAATATACACGACGATTTCATGCTATACAGGACCAAACGCAGGATGTCAGATCCCTTCTAAGGGATTAGAAATAATCAGAATCACATGTTACTGACTACAGAACAGAAACCATGCCTTTTATTAAATTAGATAACTGGAGATCCTTAATATTGCCTAAG